AATAAGAACTGTAAAAACAAAAAAAAAAAAACAATTGAATTAAGAACATTACATCATCCTCTCTCAGCCCTGTCAACTGATCCCGGTAGGCGGCCAATGTACTGGCTATGTTTGACCTAGATTTCGGTCCCACCCACCTTAAAATCACAGGAAAAAAAAGTTTGTAACCACAAAATTTGATAATGACAATAATGTACGGATAAAAATAAAAGTGATTACCTCGCTCCTAATGGACAATCAGGCAGAGTACGAAACCCACTTTTCTTCACTTTTAGGCGAATACGAGGGATATGCTCCCATGCCCAAACCTACACAAATGGACATTAATTTTGTTATTAGGTATTAGTCGAAGTAAGAAAAATAAAATATTAAATTTTCAAATAATAATTAAATAAATTTATCTGGATCAATTGAACGCAATTCTTGATCCACTTCTCATTGGCCACGAACGAGGTCGACAACGCTCTGTATACTCCGGCCAAGAGCGCTGAACCCCAGCTGTACCCCTTAATACCATCTATGTCCTCTAGCAGCTGGAGCCAGTAAAGTGGGACGCCATCCGCCCGCTGGTCGGGGAAGGACCCAATGCACCACAAGATAAGGGCTCCCGCCCTCTGCTCGTACACGATGTCCGGTCGTCCTTCTTGCAACTGAGTCTTGCATTGCCTCTCTAACCCTTCAATATTCAACCACTGGCCTTTAATGTGCCACTTGCTAGGGTCCTCAGCTGCTTGCTCTGCCTCAGTGGTGGGAGGATCCTGAGAGTGGTTGTTCTATAAAAAAATATACCTGAACGTAGGACTCAAACCCTAGCAAGTCCTTGCACCTCTCTCGCCACTGTAGGGGTGATAGCTCTATAGTCACTCCCAAAACAGCAGCTCCATTGATTGGCAGACCGAACAGGACTTGTACGTCCTGGAGCGTGATGGTGGCCTCCCCGAAATCGAAATGGAAGGTATTCGTCTCTGGGCGCCACCTCTCCATGAGAGCAGTGATGAGGGCATTGTCGGCTTCGATTCGACCCATTCGAAACATGGGG